GCAGGAAAAAGCATGGAGAGCTTTGTCACCAACCTCACATTCTCTGCTTATTAAATGCACGCTTTAGAATCTGAAAATAATGAACTGCAGGCCAATTTGTCTTTCTTAAGCATGTTTATAATGCACATGGATCCTCGTTGACTGGATGTCTGCCAGCTTCCTTGTGTTGCATCAGAACATTCCTCAAAAGAATCATCGCAACTGTGAATATTTCTGCAGCTCAGAAGAATGTAAATGAAATAAGAACATTTGTCACAGTTAATGCAGGAAAAGGGAGGTGGGACTCTATGCAAACCAGATCAGACAGGTCACTAAATCGCAGCAAGCAATGTATTCTCACTTCAACTGGCCCCAGAAAAGAAACAAATACAACCCCTAAAGACTTACTTTGAGCTTCTTCACTTGGGTTGTCTCTGGCCTTCAACAGTTCCTCAAACTCCACTGACATGGGAACACAAATCTTCAAGAACAGACAGAAGTTACAGAAAAAAAGTGATCAGTTCAGCTAATGCTGGAGTAATTCATACTGCAAACAGTAAAACTGGTAACTGAACAGGTGTTCAGAGCACTTCTTCATGATCACATCTGCACTAAGGAAAAAAAGTACAACCCAGTGACTCTGCCAGTTATGCAAGCAAGAATGAATGCTAGCTCAGAAGCAGAATGTTCTTAAACTAACAGAGTGTGGGCAGGACATGGTGAGCATCCTGCATTTTCTCCTACACAGACAGAGCCTTATATAAAGCCTTAAAGCACCTCCTACTCTTGAACGCTTTGTTTTCCTGAGTGACATTTTAACACAGCAGAGGTGAAGCCCAACACACCACAGATCAGTCATTCTCACGAAGCAGGGAATTACTCACCTCGTTGGGATGCTTCCGGTGAAACTCTTTAATTTGTTTCAGCCTGTTGTAGAATTCTGCAAATTCATTTGGCCCTGAAATGGCGCTGAGCTCTTCCTTCCGTAAGCTGCAGGTGCATGAGAAGAAGACAGATTGCAAACAAACAAACAAACAAAACATGCTTATGCTGATATAATCTTTTTGGAAGTGTAACGCTGAATTCTGCTCCCACAAAACACCAGTGAGACTGACAGCACAGCCCCACAAAGCCCCAGTGATGTTCCACAGGCAGTCAGGCCCATGCTTTGCAGATCTGGGTCACATCTCTACTGAAAATGCTGCAGTCTCAGTTACAAACACTCAAGTTTCTCTCAATGATTCAATCCAAGAAAACAATGAAATGTTTGCGTTGCGCACGAACACTTTTTAATGTAAAGCCTGGGTCCTCCTCCAGCAGGTTTGGGGCTGACCCCCAGCCTCAACTGCAGCGTCGTGCAGTCATAGAGTCATAGAATTGCTCAGTGTTTACAGCAGACCCAGAGGAGCCCCAGGTCCTCTATCCACGAGCCAGCAGGCCGCACACTCACCCGTCCTTGTCGTCGTACAGGTCCCTCAGGTTGCCGCTCACTTCCATGTACCTCTAAAACACAACACAAACCCCGCGCTGCCACCGCGAACCTCACCCGGGCCCGGCCCCGCAGCTCGGCAGCCTCCCGGGCCGTTCCGTACGGATCCCGGGGCCGCAGCGGCCCACCCCGCCCGACTCACGTCCTGCATGGCCCGCGTCCGGTGGTCGGAGTTGATCTGATCGCGGAGCTGCGGGGAAAGGAACGGCGTCAGCGAGGGCCTGGGCCCGGCCCATCCCCCACACGACCCCACCGGATCCCCCGCCCTTCCCCGGGCGCACCGTAGACTTCTTGGTGAGCATCTCCTTCACCATGACGTCCATCAGCCGCTCCCGCTCCTCATGATAACGTCGCTGCTGCTCCAGGATCGTCTCCATCCTCTCGCGTCCCGCCCGGAAGTCGAAGCGCGCTACTTCCGGCGCAGCCTGTGCGCTACCGGAAGGGTCCGGCCCCGCCCTGATCCTCGCCGGAAGGATCCGAGCTGAACGTGGGCCCGCTGTGATTATCGCCGCTGCGAAGCGGGGAAGGCAGAGCTATGAAGCCGCTCGCCCACATCTCGTGCAGCCTCGAGGCGGTGTGGAGCGGTGGGAAGCCGCTCCGGTATCGGATGGTGGGAGAGAAGGGCTGAACGCCCACAAGTCCTGTCCCAAACGCTGCCAGCATGGCGGCTTTGTCCCAATGTGCACTGAAAGGAGAGGAGCTCGCAGCCTGAACAGCCTCTGGGCCTCCAGGAGATCAGCGCGGGTGTCGGCGCCAACCCCCGATAGGGCACAGCTGCTCCCGAACACACCCGTGTCCCCGCGCAAACAGGCAGCGCACGGTCTCCCTCTAACCAGGGCTGCCCTCCCAGCAGGGTCAATCAGAGCCCACGTTCACACGCTGCCCTTTGTCACAGCGATTAGAAAAGCCACAGCTTCAGTTACCCCCCCCTTGTCCTCCCCAGAACCGCTGTGAGCACCCTGCAGCTCTGCTCCTGCCCACCCCGGGGATCAGCGAGCACTGCAGGCGCCCCCGGGGCTGGGATGAAAACCTCCAGCCTGAGGGCGGCTGTGGGCAGCGTTACACAGCTGTGAATCACAGCCCGAACAGGAACAGACCCAGCAGAACAAAACGTGTCCAGCCCGGTGCTGCCTCCTTCCCGCCTGCCTTGGGTCACAGCCGTTGCTCCTGAGAAAACAGGAGTGCTTTGTGAGCTTTGGGCATCAAGGCTCGAAGGATGTGGCTCTGGAGGATGTCATCCTGAAGAGGTTACGGTTGTGGCCTTCCACTTCTTCTTGGATTTTAATTACCATCTTCAGATCTACTCTAAATGCTGAGGAGCGTGTCAGTGCTTTGCCTCCACTTTGCCAGATACAAAACTATAATTACATTTAAACTCATAAATATTTTTTTCCCCTCCAATGCATGTTAAATTTATTTAACTATAACAACAAAAAAACTTGGCTTCATTATGGCAGACAAAGATGATCCTGCCCTGGGAACATTCATTGCACTGAGGGGATGATACTGATGATAGGAGCGTTGTATTTAATTACTCTTGGAATAAAGTCTTCCCCAAAATGTGTCACTTCTTCTCATGAATGCCCATCTAAAAATACAAGCGGAGATAAGATTTTGGACTTGGTTTTTGATTTTTCTCTTTCCTTTCACGTGAAACTTCATCCCCAGTAAGGTAAGGAGCTGAAACCCAGTGGGGGCCCCAGCCATGTGGGCTTGGTGCACCGGGAGCCTGATGCTGCTCTTCTTCCTCCTCTGCCCATCAGCAGCACCATGGGAGGAGGCAGGCTGTGGGCTGAGCTGTGCAGGGCTGGGAAGGCAACGTGGGAGCAGCCATAGCGCTTGGGGCAGATGGGGGACAGTTTTCCCACCAGGAGAGGTGGGACAACAGGAATAAAGGTGGCTCTGCAAGTTCTTCCCACCTTCCTGGACCTTTGCTGGGGGCCTGGAAGAAGGGATCACACCAGGAGGAGCGTGCAGGATGCCTGCAGGGCTCAGCCACCTTCCTAACCTTTTGCAATGGAGGCAAAGGAGAGTTCTTCAACTCAGGTTCCCCACTACCCCAGGCAGAATGGACAGTAGTGGTCCTGGTCTTGTTACCACACACAGGGTCAAGTCTTGGCCTCCAGCAGCACCTGGCCTCCAGACCCATCCCTGCAGGGCTGCAGGAGCGGCTGGGACAGGTCCATGCTGGGTTAAGGAGCTCAGGAGAGGCCGTGCTGGAGCCATGACCCAATGCTGCTGCATGTACAAGCATGCAGCTGAGAAATGGGTGACCGCCAGCAGGGAGCTGAAAAGTCTGCCTGGAAGGAGAGAGAGCCCTCATCCACAGGGCAGAGTGGGGTGCCCACAGCGAGCCCAAAAAGCATGTGGCAGGAGCCACCGTGTCCCCCTATGGGCTGACTTTTCCCCAGGAGAGCTGAGCTCAGTGTCTGGTTAATGCTGGGCTCCCAGCGAGGGCCCAGGCTGCGTGCTGAGGAGTATTTCCGTGCCTGCTTCAGACCGTGCTCCGGGAGCCCAGGGGAGGTTTGTGCATGACATCACCCTCCCCCTCCCGTAAATCAGGCGCGGGGCCGCGCGCAGCCATGACCCATTCATGACAGGGATAAAATCCAGATGTTCCAGCGCTACGTGCAGCTGGGTCATTTCCTTTTTTGGCTAAAAACGTGAGGCTCTTGAGGCTGAGCAAAAGAGGAGCCCGGGGGCCCTTTGTACAGAAACCTTTTGTGGTTAATCCCTGGAAACAGCACTGCAGAAACAAGGGCTGGTGGTGGTGCTGCTGCAGGACAGGCTCAGCCAGAAACCTCCAGGGCCTGAGCTGCTCGCTCCTTGTTTGAGGCCAAACAGCAGCAAAACCAGAGCCTGGCACAGGTCACAAGAAGCAAAAGTCTTACATGAAAAAAGAAAAGAAAAAAGCAACAAAACAATAGTTTTTGCAGGAGCTGATCCAGGAGTGTGCGGGCGCAGAGCCAGCATCGTGGTCCTGCTGCAGCAGCACCCGTGGGGTGCGGGGGCCGGCGAGCCTGCAGGAAGCCGTGGCAGCTGTTAGTAAATGTAAAGGAATCTGCGGAAAACAGTTTCAGATGTTAGGGGAACAACTGGCTCCCCAGCTGATAAAAGTGAGTAACAAGCACTCAGTGCTGCGGGGCAGGCTGCCAGGAGGAGCCTGCAGCCACATCCCCAGCAAAGCTCCCCACAGCTCAGAGCATGGGGCGCAGCATGGGGAAGCTGCTGTGTGCAGTGGGGTGCGAGGCAGTACCCAGAGTTGTGGCAGGGCTGTGATCAGCCAGAAAGCATCACTGTTCTGGTGCTGCAGACTGAGAGTGGGCATGGACAGACAGGCAGCCGCTGTAGGGAGAGGGAGCTGCCATTCCCCTGCCCTCAGCCTGTACAGCTGGTGGGGTTGGGAAAGAGGAGGAAGGAGCGTGGTGGGGATCAGCCCCACTCCTATATGGGGATAGAAATGGGGACAGGGCTGAGCATGGAACTGCAGTACTGCCCTGTGCCTGCTGCTTGAGAAACACACGGGAACGAGTGTCACTAAAACGGTTTATTATATAAAGCCTTAGGAAACATACAAGGGGCTGACATTCAGGACACTTCCTTCTAGAGACTGCTCCAAGCGCCTCAGAATAGCAAACACACAAACTCTGATTTGCCTGCATCAAAGCTTTCAAACGAGGGTTCAAGCAGGATCTGAATACAGAGTTAATAACACTTCAACATGCATAATTTTTTCTGCTCCTACTGAATCCTGGGCAGGCAGGAGAGTCCCTTCATCCCACAGCTGGTTACAGAATAACAGATAATCATGACAAAAGAATACAAAAAAAGGAAAAAAGAAAAAAAAAACAAAACCAAAAACGAATAAACATCACAAGAAGATGCCTTCAGAGAAGCACGGGTTAAGCAGGAAAGCAGGGCTGGGGGAAGGGCCCCATGCAGGGCAGAGCAAGGGAGATGCAGACTAGGCAGAAGCACAAGCTCCCTCTGCAGAGGAGCTCTGGGGGGGCAGGGCCAGCCAAGCCACCGGGCAAGGCTCGTGTGAGCCTTTAGACCCCTCGTTGTTAACAGTTAAGGACAGGCAGGGGTTTTTTGGGACAGCGCTACAGCCCTGCAAGTGCCTGAGCTCTGTCACAGAGCCACGCTGAGCAAAGGGTGCAGCACATAGGTGGCAGAGTGGCTGCAGGAATCCCATGGTGGTGACACGTGCTCCCGCTCCAGCCCGGTGTCCCCAAGCCTCCTGAATAGAGCAGAGAGCCCCACATGCACAGGTTGTGCAATGCTGGGCTGCAAAGCCATCCACCGTGAACACCGCCAAGACCAGAGCAGGAGTTGCTGCCCTGCAGCACGCAGAGCAGGGAAAAAAGAAGAAGGATGAGCACTGTGCCCAGGGGAGCGAATGCGTGCTGCCAGCGTGCAGATCCAGCAGCCCTGCACTGAAGCTGCTGCTGCTGCCCTTTGCTCAGCTCATGCCCAGTCAGACAGTAAGCAAAAGGAAAGAGTAAATAATGGGGATCTTGAAGCTCCTTTTCAACTTTATTTAGCTTTGGCTCTGCACAGAGCCACAGTGTAGCATACTCTAGCCTTCAAGGAGGGGCACGGGAACCTCCTGAACACACAGTGGTTAGGGGTCAGCCCTCATCTCCTATGCTTTGTGCCGTGCCCCTGCAATGCTGTCAGGGCTAACTGGCACAAAGACTGTGAAGAATAGAGAAAGCCCCTGCCCCACAGTGTCCTCCAAGGCTCATAGGTCGTTGCTGCAGTCACGGCACAGGATCTCATCATTGTCAGGGATAAAGCCTTTCCCGACCAGCGAGGTGTCACAGCGGGCACAGTTAAAGCAGTTATGGTGCCAGTGACGATCCTCAAAGGAGATATATTTACCACCACCGAAGCCTGTGGGAGGGACAGAGTACAGCATTAAAACCCTCGGGAGCCATTTGGACAAGCTGTTTGCACAGCCAGAGGTCTTGGTTCATCTCCAAACCACGGCCTGCCAGAAGGAAGCGCACTGTCCCTAGGGCCGTCCTGCTCACCTGTGATGGGCTTTGTGCAGGCACTGCACTTCTTGGCATAGAGGTTCCCAAAGCACTTGATGCAGTAGGGGTTGTCATCCTGGGAGGTGAACTGCTGGCCAGCCAGGGGGGTCATGCAGCCTGTGCAGACAAAACACTCCTTGTGCCACGGCTCGTCCCGGTAGGTCACTCCTCCCTTGGTCAGGGTCTGTGGGAAGAGAGAGCACACGTGTGACACAGGGGCAGTGCCACACCTGAGCAGCCATCAGCCAGGGTGCTGGCACCCGAATCATTCTCTGACGGGGTGTGGAAAGAGCTGGTACACAGTCTGCTCATCCCTAGCACTGCTAGAGCAGAGCAGCCACTGACTGTGGCAGGGCTGGGTTGTGCAGGGGCACCCTGTCCTCTCCTGAGCCAACAGATCCCCCTGCTTTGGAAGCACGACCCCCCAGCACAGGACCTTGGCTCAGCCTGCCATGGTAGACATACCTTTTTGCAGCGAGTGCAGCGAGGAGCAAACTTGCTCTCGTAACAGGGGACACAGTAATAATCCTTCTTGTCTGGGATGAAGGATCGTGACCCGATGGGCTGCTGGCAGCTGCTGCATATGAAACAGTGCTCGTGCCAGGTTTGTCCATTGTACTCCAGCTTGCGGGATCCTGCAAGAAGAGCTGTGCTCAGAGGGACAGTGGGGAGCACGTATGCTCACACAGGACACGGAGATTGTGCAGGGCAATGCAGGCTCCTGCCCACCACAACAGAGTGGTGTGTGAGTGGGGCCGTGTGGGCAACTGGGGGAGAGCCCCAGGAGCAGCAGCAGCCGCGAGTGGGGGCTGTAGCAACACTTCTCCGGCATCAATATGGCCTCTGCAGAGCAGTCTGTTGTAACCCATATCTGCAGAATGCCAGAATGGCCAAGCAAAGGCACTCCTTTGCCTCAGGCTATCTCCAGAGCCACTCACATGCCTTCAACCACTCCTTCCCTTTTTGTCAGCACATACCAGAAAATGCCCAGGAAACCCTTTGTTTTCTCCTCCTCAGCTCACTTCCCCACAAGAAAGGGAAACAGACACAGTCAGGGCTGTGCTCATCACAGCCTGTCGTCTCACCAGACTGTGCCCAGCCCACACCGTGCAGTGAAGGAGCAGCGGGAGGGCAGAAATTCAGCTCTCGCTTGCTGCCCTGGCACTGGACCCTGTAGCTCCATGCAGTGGGACTGGGAGCAAACCACAGTGCCCACCAGCTCCCACCTGGCATGACTGTCTTCTCACAGGCGATGCACTTGGAGGAGAACTCATTGCAGTAGCAGTCATTGCACAGCAGCTCCTCGTCCTGGCAGGTGAAGGGTTCGTCAGCCAGCGAGCGGTCACAGCGGAAGCAGCGGAAGCAGTGCTCGTGGTAGTGGCGATCCTCATAGTACAGCTCCTGGGGAGGACAGTAGGATGAGATGGGGATGGGCACCTATGGACTGCACTGCCCGGCACGTTCCCATACTCACCCTGCAGTCGTGGCCGATCAGCTCCTTGCACTCATCACATGTATTGGCAAAGTGGGCATCGTAGCAGGGGATGCAGTATGGGCCATTGTCCATCTGGATGTACTTGCGCCCATACAAGGACTCCTTGCAGTTGTCGCAGTCGAAGCACTCGGTCATGGTGCCGGTCTGAGGGCCACCTTCACCTGCTAAGAGAGCAGCAGAGTGCTCACTCAGAGTTGCTTTGCACTGCCTGGGATGTGCCTGCAGTGCTCCGTGTCCCCGGGACACAAGGACAGGAATGGGAACTGAGCTCCTGCACCTGAACACCCTCCCCAAATCCGCAGGCAGCTGGGATGGATCCAACCACATGAGCACGCAGACGCTCAGGGAAATACAGATGCATGCACAGGGAGCTCTGCACTGTTTGGCTCCTTGCTGGGAAACAAAGGGTAAATGAGGATCAAAAAAGAATGTTTTTCCACACGGGAAGTTTTGACTTAGCACCCAGAGCAGGCCCACAAGCACTGTATGCATGCACCTACTGCTATACCATAGCCAGACACCAGCAGGGACAGCCACCACAAGCCTCCTTCAGAGATCCCTAATCAGCCCCCCAAGGGCAGGGCCCCTGCACATGGCCCCGGGCTGCTGCTGCCCCATCGAGCTGCAGCATTCAGAGCTGGAACAGCTCCAGGACTTTAAAGCAGCTGCTCAGCAGGGGAGCTGGAATCGGGCACCTCGCGCTGCACCCGGCTGCAGTCATATCCCACCAATCCTCCTTGCACGTGTTGCTCCACGCATATGTTGTTGCTCCAGCTACAAATTCTTTTCAGGGAGCAAGCAGAGGGGAGGGCATGTATTTTACAAACAAGAGAGGTGTTTGGGGTTTGCATGCAGATCTGACATCGCTCCTTGCCCCGTCTTCCTGCAGGCAGGCAGGATGCAGAATTCAGGTGCTTTCTTTGGAACATTAATTCCAGAATGAGAGTATCTTCCTGCTGTTTGGTTGAACCTTGTTATTCCTAAATATGGAATTCTCCGCTTGCAAATTCACACCCTTCTGTAATACCAGCTTGCTGTCAAGTGCAGACAAGCCCATGGAATTACATCTGAACAGTCACGACACAGCCATGCACTGCAGCTCCCTCCAGGATCCCACTTGCCCCAGGAGGAGCCACACAGCTCCATCCCCAGCCCAGTGCCCATGGGGACCAGCAGCCCCTCACTTTGTGCCTGCTGCCCCAAATTTCCCCCCTGGGGCAGCAACAATCCACTGGTGCAAGGCAGGATCTGCTCCAGACAGCTCTGAGTCAGGCAGTGAGTTCCCCAGTGCTATTCTTGGTCAAGCTCCATGGCTCCCAGCTGTTGTGAAGCCTGGTATGTGCTGATAGCACTGCTGGGGAATAAATCCAGCGTTCCCACATGGCTACGTGACCAGCGGATGGGGAAAAAAGTCCCCATTCAGATGCTCATTACCCAACTGCCGCCTGCCCCGGGGGGATGGCTTCATCCCCACCAGCAGCTCAGGGCCATTGCTCTGCCTCACAGCTCCCAGCTTGCCATTGGGATGGAGCTTTGTTCAAAAGAGCCAAGTGGGTGCTTGTGCCAGTGCTCCCCTTGCTGCCACAGCTCTGTCCCCAAGCATCTTCTCTTTGTGATGCCCACGCAAGGAGCAGCTCCCGCACCCCCAGCGCTCCCCCCTGCCACCCTGCTTGCCTTCAACTGCCGCAGCTACCTGGGACCTTTCCCTCTGGTGAAGACAGAAAATGAAATTACCACTCTTCCCCTCCCAGCCCTGCTGTACAGAACTTTCCAAGGTGTGTCCGTAATAAAAGGGCCTCGAACCACGATACCGCCAGGGCTTGGAGCTACTGTGTTTGCTCAATGGGCTGTGCTATCTCTGTGGTCCTAAAGTATGGGGTCAGAGAACATCAGGAAACACGAGAGACGGAAAAAAAAGCACGATGGGAGAAGCCTTGGCTTCTGCTGGCGAGACGCACTCAGACCCTGAGCGCTGCTGACCCCAGCCTGGAGGCTGTCCCTCCTTGTCCCCAGACACAAAGCAAGTCACAGCATTTTGCTAAGGACAGTGAGGTGGGTGGTGCTGCAGGAGTGCATGGAACAGGGAACAAAACCCATAGAAACCCTCTGAAAATGATATTCCAAGTTCTGCTCAAAAGCAATGCCCCAGATTGTACCGTGCCAGTACAATACCCACCCTGCTCGCAAGGGGCTGCAACTGTGCTGGTGTGCCAAAGCCCTCAAACTGAAGACTGGGAGAACTGGGTGCACTGGAAGCAAAGTGCTGCTTCCCTGGGGCAGTTCTGCTTTCAGCAGATTCTCCCCAGATGTGGCGTGCTTCCGTTGGTCCTAGCTGGGGGGTGTGGGGTCAGCAGAGCCAAGCATCACATGGCTGAGATTGCTGCGAGAGCAACTGCTCTGCTGCCTTTTGCAGAGAATAAAACCCAGGCCCAGGAAGTTTACTCAGAGTTATTTGACTTAGATAAGCTGCAGGGAAGTGATCTGTTTGCTCTCTTTGTTCTGGTCGTGCAGCAGTGACAAACCCTGCACAACACCACAGCAAACTCCACATCTTCACCCACGGATGTGGCACCAAGGTCACAGCTCAGAGAAAGGGGAGACAAAAGAAACACAGCGAAGGAATAGGTCAAAAGTACCCAATTCTTACTGTGATTGCAATGAGGATCTGGGATCAATTTGTGAAGACAAGAAGTTTGAAAATGTATTAAAAATGTGTCCTGGCTTCAGGACCCTTTAAATTGACTTTTGGGTAGTCATCATGCATGCTAATCAGCATGTGCTGATACTCTGCACTCTGCACCACCCTGTAAACACCAGTTGTGATCTAGGCTGGTGTCAGCAACGCCTCCAAACAGCCAAGGTGTTGCCCCAACCTGATAGGATTCCAGTTGCAAAGAGCATTCACCCACTCACCCATGTCAGGACGAAGGCTGCCAGACCTGGGGCACTCTTGCAGCTGTCCGAGGGCAGAAATAACAGCAGCTCCCTGCCTGCCAGCTGCCCACCCAATCCTTCTGCCTGACAGAGTAGTGCTCATGGAAGAAAGGAAGCTCAGTTTCTCGCCTGCGCCCAAGAACAAACAGCTTTGGCAACAAGAGCTCCCCTTGCAAACAATATTTAAAGTGTTCCGGGATGCAAACCTGATCAGTCTGGAACAGAGCTCAGAATAGCTGCACGTATGGGAAAGGTCAGCGGTTCGCCAAGGACGCACAGCAGAAGCTGCTTTCTAATTAGAGTACCAGGCACATAGCACCACGCCGGTGTCACTGTGCACAGCAACACCTCAGAGGGCTTAGCAACAACCCCAGGAGATCGTTACATTCATTATAGTGTCTTGAACTGTTATGCAAAGAATAGGTCCAGGGCCAGACTTTCTGCTGCATCCAATCACTTGAGAGTTTAATCACTTTTGGATGCAATTCGGGCTACACGAGGTCTCTCACACACACAGTGAACCTGCAGTCCTGTGTAACTCCATATGCGTTTGTTGCTCGTTGTCAGGTCACAACCAGCTGCTCCACCAGGCAATCCAACAAGGCTATTCCCAGGGAAACACTTAATCTTCCCAGGACACAGGAATAGAGCTGCCTTTATGCATTGGGTTCCTGCCTCTCCTCGCCCTGGCGCTCGCACTTCACACCTACAGGCACGCGGTGGGCACAGTGCAGCACTGCAGGACGGGCTCCCATGTAAGGATGAAACCTCCTGGCGAGGCAGCTTTGGAAGATGGTCTTCAGCATGCTTTGAGGTCAACAGAGGAGAACGCTCTTTGTTCCCCTTGGCTTTCCAGAACCATTATAGGTGCTGGAATCCGCGTGACATTGTTTCTGCCTCTCGTCCAACCCTAAAAGGGAAACCAGCTGCTCACTCAGGGGAGCAGCGCTGGCCCCTGCACGAGGCTGTGGACTGAGAGCCATCCCCTTCCCCTACACCACCTCTGGGCCATGTGGGGATGGCTCTTGCCCCCATGCTCCCAAACTTGTGAGCTGCAGGCCTGGGCCAGCAGTCCAGCATCCGTGCTGCTGCTGGATCTGCCTTCAGGTGAGAGCTGGGGGAGCCATGAGGGTGCCAGGCATTTCGCCAGCTGGATCCTGCCTGCACAGGGCCCCGCCTGCTCCAGGCACCCCTGAGTCACATCCTGCTCACAGCTACACCTCCCAGCTCCACAAAAGGGCAGCCTGGAAGAGGCAGCGGATACCTGGAGCAGCGGGGTGTGAGCACAGCCCACCTGCACTACTGGTGCTGTGCCCTGGTTTGCAGGCATCCAAAAATCTGCAGCACCGTTGCTTCTCCAGGCACAGGGAGACTGACTGCTGGCCTGGGGCTCTGCAATGCATCCATTGAGATGGCTGCCACAGCTGTGAGGAAACACCCTGCACTGCCATGAGATCTGTGCCAGCAGAACTGAATTTTGCTCAGCACAGCAGGCAGCTTCTTGAAGCTACGAGAGAAAGAAGCAGCAAGAATTGTTAAAGCATCTGACAAGGCATAAAGGCAGTTGAGGCTGCAAATAATTTTAATACACCCTTTGAATGGTAAACTGAGGGTTTCCTGGTGCTCAGAAAAGACCTCAGAGGGCGAAACCAGAACCCACTGCTCCCAGCAGCTTTTATATGAGAGACTTAGCTGTCCCACGTACGGTCAGATCTTACCCAGAGAATCTCACATGCTGACAGAAAGCCCCACGCTGGTGAATGCAACAAGAGGTGCCCCAGCCAGCAGAAAGGAGGCATCCTCATCAGGTTATACATAGTGACACAGCACACTATGTATGCTGTTATTTATTTTCCACGACAGCATCACTCCATGGAGGAGGAGGAGGAAGAGGAGAAGAGACACAGCTTGATGGAGCTCGGCCCCATCTCTATAAGGCCAGGACTCTCCTTTTATGCCTTCTTGCATCAGAATCAGCAGTGCTGATTCTGAAAGCAAAATGCATGACCTAAGTACCCATTGAATTCTGCTAGACAAGATACACTTCAGAAGATCTGGAAAACAAATTATTTCCTAGTGGAGATTAATTTTTTGGACTACTGTATGTAATGAGCCAGATTATCCAGGAAAGCCAACACACGTTGAGAGACTGCATGCAGAATCCACAGTGTGCAGATGGAAACAGCCTCACCCTTTATGTGCTTGCAGACCTGGACAGGTTGGCAGGAGT